CTAGCAAGTACCAGTATGCACTGAACATTTACAGTAGGGTTTTCGGCATTACTGAAAAGTATGCAGGAAAAATAGCTACTATGGTAGTACAAATGCATTATGTTAATTGTTTCAAGACAGTGGAAAATAACAATATCTCCAACCATTGGACATTAGTAGTATTACAAAGCTGCTATATCACTAAGCTGTACTGTAGGCCTACTCGGTCTCAAACCCGGTCATGAAAAGAATGAATTAACTAAAAGCTTGGGGTCTGTCATTACACAACTCTAGGGTAAATACATCTCCATAAGAGTGGTCTCTCTCTCTCCCTTTCCCTCCCGGAGGACCTGAGCCAGAGGACCATGCCTCAGGACTACCTGGCCTGACGACTCCTGGCTGTCCCCATTCCACCTGGTTGTACTGCTGCGCTGCCTGTGGCTATGGAACCCTGACCTTGTCCCGGACCTGCGGTTTCAACCCCCTCTCTCTCTCTCTCACCTGCTTTCTCAACCTCTGAATGCTCGGCTATGAAAAGCCAACTGACATTTACTCCTGAGGTACTGACCTGTTGCACCCTCTATAACCACTGTGAGTATTATCTTACCTGCTGTATCTCATGAATGTTTGAAACTTATTGATGAACGATCTGGGCTAAACGGCCATGTACTGTTATAACCTCCACCCGGCACAGCCAGAAGGGGACTGGCCACCTCTCGGAGCCTTGTTCTTCTCCACCCGGCACAGCCAGAAGGGGACTGGCCACCCCTCAGAGCCTGGTTCCTCTCTAGGTTTCTTCCTAGGTTCCTGCCTTTTCTAGGGAGTTTTCCCTAGCCACTGTGCTTCTGCCTCCGCATTGCTTGCTCTTTGGGGTTTTAGGCTGGGTTTCTGTAAAGCACTTTGTGACAAATGCTGATGTAAAAAGGGCTTCATAAAATACATTTGATTGAGTTCATCTATGCAATTTCTAGAAGTTATTGTAAAACCTCACAGTATATTACTCATTGTGAGTCACCTAATAAAATGGACATTTCCGTCACAGGGTGACAAGTACAGATCGATTCAAACATGAGTTGATTCTTTATTTAAAGAGCTCTTGTTCACACAGGTAAGAACATAGTCATCTCAGTGTCCTACGTTACATCTCAATGTGTCCCAAATGACACCCTATATAGTGCAGTATTTCTGACCTGCACTATATATGGAGCCATTTGGGACGCAGCATCTGAGTTAACTGCACCTGAAGGAGAAGTGAGGAAGGCTAGAAGCTACAACTAATAGTTAGATTTCTTTTTTTTAACCCCTTTTTTGTCCCCAATTTCGTGATATCCAATTGATATCCTCCTTGACACACTGCTCGCTTAGCCTGGAAGCCAGCCGCACCAATGTGTCGGAGGAAACGCCGTACAACTGGCGACCGAAGTCAGCGTGCATGCGCCCGGCCCGCCACAAGGAGTCGCTAGAGCGCGATGGGACAAGGACATCCCGGACGGCCAAACCCTCCCCTAACCCGGACCACGCTGGGCCAATTGTGCACCACCTCATGGGTCTCCCGGTCGGGGTGCAGTGCCTTAGACCGCTGTGCACTCGGGAGGCACCTAGTAGTTAGATTTCAAACCAGTCTCAAATGGATCCATGTTAATGTTCAGGATTGATTGGGCGTATTTTGATGGTGTACCCTTGTTACAATATGAGGAAATAGCTTGTAGGAAAGAAATAACAGCATGTAAAAGATTAGTCATTGCTAGAAATGTGAAAGTACAACACAGGTCATAGGTCACAGGTCATAGGCCTAAACCTGTCTGTTCTACGAAGCTGGAAAACATAAACAGGTTTTTGCTTTGTGTGAGTGTCGGCCAGTTCTTACAGACAATGAAATACTCGTCTCGGTTACAATGCCACTTCTACTGCCCAATCGGAAAATATAAAACTATAGGTCCAACTCAAAACTCAATTTGATGAATGATGCACAGTACAGTCACAAAGTCATTCTTGTTTATCGTTCTTCTGAAAGGATCAAGACCAAACTAAACAAACCTGGGTCCGTATTCATAAAGCGTCTCAGAATAGGAGGGATGATCTAGGATCAGTTCCCATCTTTTATATGATTTTTTTTTTTTTTTTTTTTTTCTTTTTTTTTTCTGAGGATCAGTTCCCATCTTATTCATATGATATAGGATCAGGTCCCATCTATTCATATATGATCTAGGATCAGTTCCCATCTTATTCATATGATCTAGGATCAGTTCCCATCTTATTCATATGATCTAGGATCAGTTCCCATCTTATTCATATGATCTAGGATCAGTTCCCATCTTATTCATATGATCTAGGATCAGTTCCCATCTTATTCATATGATTAAAAAGGCAAAACTGATCCTTGATCCGCACGCTTTATGAATACGGACCCTGGCTTTGACCATCTGCATCGACTGCCATGAGGTTTACCTTACCCTCTTTTCAAACCACTCTAGTTCAAACTCTTAGGGCCAGTTTCCTGGACACCAATTAAGCGTAGTCCTGGAGAATGTACATTGAAATAGCTTTTAAAATTCAGGACTAGGCTTTATCAGCATCCAGGTAATGTCAGTTAAACTTCAAAAAGCAGTATCACTCTCGACCCCCCCCCCCCCCCCATCCCTCTCTCTCCACCCCCTTCCCCCACTCTGTAATTCCACTACGGAGTAAAGCAGAAGACTGACAACCCGGAGCAGAAGTATGGTTAAAATAACGTCACCTCTCACGCCACGTGTCACACAGTACGTCCAAAATGGCACCTTATCCCCTTTATACCGCACTACTTCTGACCAGAGCTATATGAGTCTTGGTCAAAAGCAGTGAACTATATAGGGGATAGGGTGCCATTTGAGACCAGGATATTGAAGAACCCCCTTAATAATTGTAGTTGTAACGACGGCATGCATTGTGTCTAACGGCTGACTGACATGACAGCACATTACTAATCAATCATAATAAACTGTTTCCGATTTAAAAATGGAAGAACATCACACAAAGATGAACACAACACAAGATACAAGTCTCAAATACATTCCACTGCCAGCTTTACAAAGGGGTGGATATTAGCTTTACAGTGGAGATCAACAAAACAAGGTTATTTACATTTTACAGCACAATATCTTTGTAACATGTTGGGGTTGTGAACGCGCCCTTTGCAGCCCTGTCAGGTCAAACAGGGGTGTGTTCACAATTCCAAACAGTTAAATCCTTAATGATCCATACTGAAACATTCACAAACAGGGAGGTTTAGTTAGCACCACAATCCTTTATACAGTGGAGTGAGACTTCATCAAAACTAGGCAGGCAGCAAATAGCAGTTCCCTTCCACCAGAGATGAAACCAACTACTGCACAACTCAACATCTGGGTCTGATTTCTGACCAAATGGAAACATATCAAGGGTTCCTGCCCCAAAGAGATTTGATCATAGTTGCCTGTATAAAAGCATGCAAACGGCACTGTGCTCACCTAAAGCATTATGAAGTTCCATGGTGGGTGGATGCAAGGTCTATCAAGGAAGACATAGATGAAAATAAATGATAGATTTTCTGAAGTTAAAAAAAGGGGGGAAAAGGAGAAGTATATATTAGATGGAAGATATACACTGAGTGTACAAAACATTAAGAACACCTGCTCTTTCCATGACAGACTGCCCAGGTGAATAAAAATGAAAACTATGATCCATTATTGATGTCACCTGTTAAATCCACTTCAAATCAGTGTAGATGAAGGGGAGGAGACAGGTTAAAGAAGGATTTTTAAGCCTTGAGACAATTGAGACATGGATTGTGTATGTGTGCCAATCAGAGGGTGAATGGGCAAGACAAAATAAGTGCCTTTGAACGGGGTATGGTACACCGGTTTGAGTGTGTCAAGAACTGAAACGCTGCTGGGTTTTTCACGCTCAACAGTTTCCTGTGTGTATCAAGAATGGTCCACCACCCAAAGGACATCCAGCATTGGAGTCAACATGGGCCGGCATCCCTGTGGAATGCTCACACCTTGTAGAGTCCATGCCCTGACGAATTGAGGCTGTTCTGAGGGCAAAATGGGGTGCAACTCAATATTAGGAAGGTGTTCCTAATGTTTGGACACTCAGTGTACAATGAAAGGACGCTCAAAAGCTGTATATAATTTGTTAAATAGGGATTAATGTAGAATACAATAAAAACTAAAACAAAAAGCATAAAACACAGTGGTAAAAACATCCTGTTCTACTGCACTCCACACCTTCAGGAAAACTCCACCCAAAAACTAAATGTTGGCATTTGATTTATTAGTCCATTGTTGACATAGTCCCTAAATGTTTTGCTTGTCAGCAATCAAGTTGTCAAGATATGCAACTTTCAAAATACAGAAATCATCCCCGTATGATGCAAGACGCAGCATCATATGAGGCAAAATGCATCATACGGGGAGGATTTCTGTATTTTGAAAGTGAAATATATTTTGGGACTATGTCAACGATGCACTAATAAAACAAATGGCAGAAGATTTTGGGGTGGAATCTTCCTTGAAACCCAATTGATCCGTTTCAAAAGAAAAAGGATGAACAGGTTTGTGTTCATCAGGGAACAAGATGGAAAACATTACAACGGAAGAGGAAAAAGGAGCATTCTGTATTGGATGTGGGATAAACCCTTCCTGCTCCAGTCGGTTTCCTTCCTCCTGATACCTAATGAACATGATAATGGTGTTGGGAGTGTACAATAGCGGTAGCACCTCCAATCCAGGAGAGGGTGCTGGTGGTGAGAGCAGAGCGGTCAGAACTCGGGGGCACTTCCTGTGAAGCAGAGGGAGAAGACAGGAAGCAAGGCGTCGCCGGGGCCTTGCCAGCGCGCGTTGCTAGGGCTCTGTAAGCTGTCTGCTGTAAATTCTACTGCTGCTCAGGACCAGGTCCCATATTCATAAAGCACCTCAGAGTAGTAGGAGTACTTTATACAAACCAGGACCCCTCCCCTTCCTCGCTGTGTAAAGGGGCATCTTCAGTTCCCCTCCAGGCCTCTAGGAGTCCTCCTCATCCTGGTCCTCACGGATGCCCACCACTCTCTTTCGCAGCACCTCCTCTGGACTCCCCTTGGGAGACGCTGTCCTCCTCCTCCAGACATTGTCCTGTTCTCCATCTTCATCGTCCTCATCATCATCCTCCTCTCCATCCGCCTCCTGCTCTTCCTCCAGCTGCTGAATCAGCCTGGCTTGTTCCATCGTCTGTTTCTCTGGAATGGGACAATAACAAACACTATATGAATAACAGGACAATAGAGACTATATGAATAACAGGACAATAAAGACTATATGAATAACAGGACAATAAAGACTATATGAATAACAGGACAATAAAGACTATATGAATAACAGGACAATAAAGACTATATGAATAACAGGACAATAAAGACTATATGAATAACAGGACAATAAAGACTATATGAATAACAGGACAATAAAGACTATATGGATAACAGGACAATAAAGACTATATGGATAACAGGACAATAAAGACTATATGGATAACAGGACAATAAAGACTATATGGATAACAGGACAATAAAGACTATATGGATAACAGGACAATAAAGACTATATGGATAACAGGACAATAAAGACTATATGGATAACAGGACAATAAAGACTATATGGATAACAGGACAATAAAGACTATATGGATAACAGGACAATAAAGACTATATGGATAACAGGACAATAAAGACTATATGGATAACAGGACAATAAAGACTATATGGATAACAGGACAATAAAGACTATATGGATAACAGGACAATAAAGACTATATGAATAACAGGTCAATAAAGACTATATGGATAACAGGACAGGTCAATAGAGACTATATGGATAACAGGACAGGACAAAAACAAAGACATTATACTACATCCTGCACTATCCATGCCACTGCTCTGTACACTGGTACACAACTTAGGAAGAATACAAAAAAGACGAATGTCTGTTCTCTTTAAAGACAAAAGCTAAAAGATGACCGTATTCTGCTACTGCTATACCCTCTCCAAGAGTTCAGCTTAGTTGTTTAATGTCAGCACATAACACAGGGCTGTACATTTCACAAAGTTCCATTTGCATGGACATGGATTCTCTGCCATCTCATACTCACTCTGGTAGTAGTTTGGGGAGTTAAATCGCCGTGATGGGAATACAAAATCTGCAATGAACACCAGTATCTGGGAAGAGAAGGCACAAGAGAAGCTGGTTAGGTTGGTGAGGAGAGCAGAGTTGATGTTACTGTAAGATATTGATATCGCTCGCATTCTTTGCCTCCAATAACTTCCACAGCCAGTCATTTTTCTACAAAATATAAATGGGATGCATTTACTCCATTGTTTACATGTGTCTCGGTGACCCACAATCTGAGGGCACATAATACTAAATAATAACAATACTTTTTATATGACCAGACACCTTTCAGGACACATTACATTAAAAGTACATTAAAATCAAAAAGTGCAATAAATCAAATCCTAGCGCATTTAAAATCAAACAAAGACATCACATAGGGATCAAATATCAAGGAGTATGACTAACGTACCAGTCCCAGGACTAGGCCGGAGAAGAGAGTGGCCAGTCCAAAGATGACATACGAGCCCCACACTGGAATCCCCAGCTGCTCTATCAGGTAGTTATGGCAACGCTGCAGGGAGAGAAGACAAGAAGTCAACTGTCAGTTTCAAATTGCCAATGTCTTTGCAATTGTTACAAACAAGCGAAGGATAAAAATGAAAAACCGAGATGACTGCATTAAAAGATAAATATTGTACCTATAATATAGGCCACATACACTGAGTGTACAAAACATTAAGGACACCTGTTTTTTCCATGACATAGACTGGCCAGGTGAATCCAGGTGAAAGCTATGATCCCTTATTGATGTAACCTGTTAAATCCACTTCAATCAGTGTAGATGAAGGGGAGGAGACAGGTTAAAGAAGGATTTTTAAGCCCTGAGACAATTGAGACATTGGATTGTGTACAGTCGTGGTCAAAAGTTTTGAGAATGACACAAAATATTAATTTTCACAAAGTCTGCTGCTTCAGTTTTTATGATGGCAATTTGCATATACTCCAGAATGTTATGAAGAATGATCAGATGAATTGCAAAGTCCCTCTTTGCCATGAAAATGAACTTAATCCCCAAAAAACATTTCCACTGAATTTCAGCCCTGCCACAAAAGGACCAGCTGACATCATGTCAGTGATTCTCTCGTTAACACAGGTGAGAGTGTTGACGAGGACAAGGCTGGAGATCATTCTGTCATGCTGATTGAGTTAGAATAACAGACTGGACGCTTTAAAAGGAGGGTGGTGCTTGAAATCATTGTTCTTCCTCTGTTAACCATGGTCACCTGCATGGAAACATGTGCCGTCATCATTGCTGTGCACATAAAGGGCTTCACAGGCAAGGATATTGCTGCTAGTAAGATTGCACCCAAATCAACCATTTATCGGATCATCAAGAACTTCAAGGAGAGAGGTTCAATTGTTGTGAAGAAGGCTTCAAGGCGCTCAAGAAAGTCCAGCAAGCGCCAGGACCGTCTCCTAAAGTTGATTCAGCTGCGGGATTGGGGCACCACCAGTGCAGACCTTGCTCAGGACTGGCAGCAGGCAGGTGTGAGTGCATCTGCACGCACAGTGAGGCGAAGACTTTTGGAGGATGGCCTGGTGTCAAGAAGGGCAGCGAGGAAGCCACTTCTCTCCAGGAAAAACATCAGGGACAGACTGATATTCTGCAAAAGGTACAGGGATTGGACTGCTGAGGACTGGGGTAAAGTAATTTTCTCTAATGAATCCCCTTTCCGATTGTTTGGGGCATCCGGAAAACTCCTTGTCCGGAGAAGACAAGGTGAGCGCTACCATCAGTCCTGTGTCATGCCAACAGTAAAGCATCCTGATACCATTCATGTGTGGGGTTGCTTCTCAGCCAAGGGAGTGGACTCACTCACAAATTTTCCTAAGAACACAGCCATGAATAAAGAATGGTACCAACACATCCTCAGAGAGCAACTTCTCCCAACCATCCAAGAACAGTTTGGTGACGAACAATGCCTTTTCCAGCATGATGGAGCACCTTGCCATAAGGCAAAAGTGATAACTAAGTGGCTCGGGGAACAAAACATCGACATTTTGGGTCCATGGCCAGGAAACTCCCTAGACCTTAATCCCATTGAGAACTTGTGGTCAATCCTCAAGAGGTGGGTGGACAAACAAAAACCCACAAATTCTGACAAACTCCAAGCATTGATTATGCAAGAATGGGCTGCCATCAGTCAGGATGTGGCCCAGAAGTTAATTGACAGCATGCCAGGGTGGATTGCCAAGGTCTTGAAAAAGAAGGGTCAACACTGACTCTTTGCATAAACTTAATGTAATTGTCAATAAAAGCCTTTGACACTTATGGAATGCTTGCATTTATACTTCAGTATACCATAGTAACATCTGACAAAAATATCTAAAAACATTGAAGCAGCAAACTTTGTGAAGACCAATACTTGTGTCATTCTCAAAACGTATGACCACGACTGTATGTGTGCCATTCAGAGGGTGAATGGGCAAGACAAAATATTTAATTGCCTTGAACGGGGTATGGTAGTAGGTGCCAGGCGCACCGGTTTGTCAAGAACTGCAACGCTGCTGGGTTTTTCACACGCAACAGTTTCCCGTGTGAATAAAGAATGGTCCACCCACACAAAGGACATCCAGCCAACTTGACACAACTGTGGGAAGCATTGGAGTCAACATGGGCCAGCATCCCTGTGGAACGCTTTTGACACCTTGTAGATTCCATGCCCCGACGAATTGAGGCTGTTCTGAGGGCAAAGGTTAAGGTGAGATTTGAATGGAGAAAGCTGATCTGAGAGCAGCACTGCTTACTTTCCATCCTATCAGTATCGACACGACTCAACGACACACTTATCGAACGTTCTCTCTGCGTGGTGTTTTGGGAAACATGTTACATCTTTGGCGTTGGAGGAAATATGCATAGCTAAAACACTCTGTAAGCCTAAAATTCCATTGCAAACGGGAAATCGGGCCCTGGTCAAAAGTAGTGCACTACATAGGGAATAGGGTGCCATTTGGGATGCATCCATAATGTTGGTGTGGTGTGAACGGGGTCTGACAGCTCACAGAGAGAAGGCAAAAGCAGCACTCACCCTAATGAACATTGACAGCTTGAAGAGAGCGGACATTGTGTTCATCCTTCAGGGGGAGAAAAGGGAGAAATACTTTTTTAGACATTTTAATGAGATAATCTAAGAATTACCAGTTAACCTGGTTAAAGTGTCAAACTATCATGGTACAAACACACCAAGAAAGTCGTGAAGAGGGCACGACAACACCTTTTCCCCCTCAGGAGACTGAAAATATTTGGCATGGGTCCCCAGATCCTCAAAAAGTTATACAGCTGCACCATCGAGAGCATCCTGACCGGTTGCATCACCGCCTGGTATGGCAACTGCTCGGCATCCGACCGTAAGGCGCTACAGAGGGTAGTGCGTACGACCCAGTACATCACTGGGGCCAAGCTTCCTGCCATCCAGGACCTATATACATTTTACATTTTAGTCATTTAGCAGACGCTCTTATCCAGAGCGACTTACAGGAGCAATATACTAGGCGGTGTCAGAGGAAGGCCCAAAGAAATTGTCAAAGACTCCAGTCACCCGAGTCATAGACTGTTCTCTCTGCTACCACACAGCAAGCGGTACCGGACCGCCAAGTCTAGGTCCAAAAGGCTCCTTAACAGCTTCTACCCCCAAGCCATAAGACTGCTGAACCATTAATAAAATGGCCACCCGGACTATTGCATTGACACCCCACCCCCCACCCCTTTGTTTTTACACTGCTGCAACTCGCTGTTTATTATCTATGCATAGTCACTTTACCCCTACCTACATGTACAAATTACCTTGACTAACCTGTACCCCAGCACATTGACACGGTACCGGTACCCCCTGTATATAGCCTCATTATTGTTATTTTATTGTGTTACTTATTTTTTTTTACTTTTCTTTATTTAGTAAATATTTTCTTAACTGCATTGTTGGTTAAGGGCTTGTAGTAAGCATTTCACGGTAAGGTCTACTACACCTGTTGTATTCTTGGGTGTGTTGGTTGGATGTCTAAACACAAAACTAAGAGGCTCAGTAACTACCAGAAGAGGATGATATGTCCTGTTGTTCTGAAGTGTAGTGTTTGATATGTCCTGCTGTTCTGAAGTGTAGTGTTTGATATGTCCTGTTGTTCTGAAGTGTAGTGTTTGATATGTCCTGTTGTTCTGTGTAGTGTTATATGTCCTGTTGTTCTGAAGTGTATGTTGATATGTCCTGTTGTTCTGAAGTGTAGTGTTTGATATGTCCTGCTGTTCTGAAGTGTAGTGTTTGATATGTCCTGCTGTTCTGAAGTGTAGTGTTTGATATGTCTGTGTTCTGACATTTGTTTATATAGTAATTGTTCTGAAGTGTATGGTTTGATATGTCCTGTTGTTCTGAAGTGTAGTTTGATATGTCCTGTGTTCTGAAGTGTAGTGTTTGATAGTCTGTGTTCTGAAGTGTAGTGTGTATGCGTATCTATGTAGCTTCTGTTCAAGTTTAGTGTTTGATTGTCTGTTGTTCTGAAGTGTAGTGTTTGATATGTCCCTGTTGTTCTGAATGTAGTGTTTGATATGTCCTGTTGTTCTGAAGTGTAGTGTTTGATATGTCTGTTTTTCTGAAGTGTAGTGTTTGATATGTCCTGTTGTTCTGAAGTGTAGTGTTTGATATGTCCTGTTGTTCTGAAGGTAGTGTTCGATAGTCCTGTGTTCTAATTTGAGTGTTTGATATGTCCTGTGTTCTGAAGTGTAGTTTTAATATGTCCTGTTGTTCTGAGTGTAGTGTTTGATATGTCCTGTTGTTCTGAAGTGTAGTGTTTGATATGTCCTGTTGTTCTGAAGTGTAGTGTTTGATATGTCCTGTTGTTCCGAAGTGTAGTTTGATATGTCCTGTTGTTCTGAAGTGTAGTGTTATGTCGTGTTGATTATTGTGTCCTGTTGTTCTGAATGTAGTGTTTGATATGTCCTGTGTTCTGAAGTGTATGTTTGATATGTTCTGTTGTTCTGAAGTTGTGGTTTGATATGTCCTTGTTAGATTTCTAGTGTAAGTGTTTGATATGTCACTGTTGTTTCTGAGTGTAGTGGTTTGATATGTTCCTGTGTTCTGAAGTGTAGTGTTTGATATGTCCTGTTGTTCTGAAGTGTAGTGTTTGATATGTCCTGTTGTTCTGAAGTGTAGTGTTTGATATGTCCTGTTGTTCTGAAGTGTAGTGTTTGATATGTGCTGTTGTTCTGAAGTGTAGTGTTTGATATGTCCTGTTGTTCTGAAGTGTAGTGTTTGATATGTCCTGTTGTTCTGAAGTGTAGTGTTTGATATGTCCTGTTGTTCTGAAGTGTAGTGTTTGATATGTCCTGTTGTTCTGAAGTGTAGTGTTTGATATGTCCTGTGTTAGTTTGATAGTCCTGTGTTTGAAGTGTGTGTTGATATGTCCTGTTGTTCTGAAGTGTAGTGTTTGATATGTCCTGTTGTTCTGAAGTGTAGTGTTGTAGTCTGAATTGTGTTTGATTGTCCTGTTGTTCTGAAGTGTAGTGTTTGATATGTCCTGTTGTTCTGAAGTGTAGTGTTTGATATGTCCTGTTGTTCTGAAGTGTAGTGTTTGATATGTCCTGTTGTTCTGAAGTGTAGTGTTTTATATGTCCTGCTGTTCTGAAGTGTAGTGTTTGATATGTCCTGTTGTTCTGAAGTGTAGTGTTTAATATGTCCTGTTGTTCTGAAGTGTAGTGTTTAATATGTCCTGTTGTTCTGAAGTGTAGTGTTTAATATGTCCTGTTGTTCTGAAGTGTAGTGTTTAATATGTCCTGAAGTGTAGTGTTTGATATGTCCTGTTGTTCTGAAGTGTAGTGTTTGATATGTCCTGTTGTTCTGAAGTGTAGTGTTTGATATGTCCTGTTGTTCTGAAGTGTAGTGTTTGATATGTCCTGTTGTTCTGAAGTGTAGTGTTTGATATGTCCTGTTGTTCTGAAGTGTAGTGTTTGATATGTCCTATTGTTCTGAAGTGTAGTGTGCGTGCGGAAGTGATAAGAAGATTGTGCGTGGTCATGTGTAATAATTGGTTGTGGTTTTAGAGAAGACTATACATGGAAATGAACTGCAGCTATTTATTCACTGTCATCTACTGACATAAAACACACTGGCTACATTCACATAGTCCCCTGTAGCTCAGTTGGTAGAGCATGGCGCTTGCAACGCCAGGGTTGTGGGTTCGTTTCCCACAGGGGGCCCGTATGAAAATGTATGCACTCACTAACTGTAAGTCGCTCTGGATAAGAGCGTCTGCTAAATGACTAAAATGTCAAATGTAATTCAGACTCAGTCACTACATGTTATAAAGCAGGGATGGGTAACTGGTGACCCACAGGCCCCCTTTTGTAAGGCCGCGCATCAAATTAAAAACTCTCTCTCAATTCAATTTGCTTTATTGGCATGACGTAACAATGTACTCACTCCCTCTCTCATTTTTAAGAACTCAGTCGGGGTCTCAACTTACTGTTGCGAGTTAGAATAGTAGAATACACAAGGTGCAATTTCTAAATATGGTTGTGCATCAGCAGTTTTGCTCTTGATAGCCCATGTCAGCAAAAATAAATTTTGGGGGGCCAGTATGAAAAATGTATGCACTCACTAATCGTAAGTCGCTATGGATAAGAGCGTCTGCTAAATGACTAAAATGTCAATTGGTTCACAAAAAAAAAAAAAGTTTGTCTAGCGGCCAGCTATCTAAACTTATATTAATCATGGTTGAATTACTGACCGGGGCACCCCCATTGATTTTGTTAGTCACTCTCACCCAGATATCATTTAAAAAACTGCAGACATTTCTCTCCACCCCATGGCAAAATGTAGGGGGCGGGACCGGCTCTGACTGCACGTGTGGGCATGAATGTGGGTACGCAGACCCACGAGCCACTGCGGTCCCTAATTTTTCGTGGCCCCAACACCATTAAAGTTGACCATCCCTGTTATAGTCTTAAAGGTGGCCTGGCTAAGGTCAAAAACGTCACAAATATCCCAACCAATTATTTATTTCTCAACAATCCTTTTAGACAAAAATGTAAAATATGTACCAAACGTCCTTCCTCCAAAGGACCTTTTCATGCATTACAGTATTTCCCCCCTTCCAGTTTCACACACTAAGGCCCAGTAATGAGAGACTCACATCAATCAATTAATCAATCATCAATCCACTCACATGAAGGAAGATGGTCCGAACCAGGAAGACACGGGCTCAATGCCCTGCCACTTCTTCTCATCAATAAAGCTTAGGAAGTCATCTTTGGTGCGAGCCCCCTGGTACCTCCGGAATACACCATCCTTACAGCTGATTCACACACACACGCACGTAAGGTGTTATCATAGAGATCTATCACAATTAAAGCCAAATTAAGAAGCCAATATTGTGGCATTAACCACAAAGAAACAGTCTGTTTTATTTGCCCTTAGCGCCACTAAGCTATAGTAGGGTCATATATTTACCGTTTTTTTACCATTGATATACATTTTATAGCAACATTTAAGGCTAGTGTCTAAACTGGGTCTAGAATCATAACAGTAGCAACAACAAAAGGGCATGTTAGAAAGACTCAAAAACATTTCCTCTTCCAGACAAAGTCTGAAGCTAAAGTATATAACAGCATCTCATATTCCAGTGAGGTTATTGGCTAAAATGTGGTGGTTAGATTATCACATTTCCCGATGAGACAGATTGAGTCTGTAGTCTAAATAGGATGGGTGGTGGTTGAGGTTTGTTGGCCTGCGACTGTGAGAGGAACAGGATGTGAGACATAGTTTGAGGCACCAGAGAGAGAACTTACTGGTAGATTGTAGGAAGTGAAGTGATGACGAATCGCCCGCTCAAACCTAAAGGTGTGGGTGGGGGATGGGGGAGGAGAGAGCAGAATGTTAGTAAATATCTCTCTGAATGAGACCAACTTCATCTTGTTCTTGACTGATATTACAAAGGGTCTACAAAAAACATGAGATAGACCTAACAAATTATATCAATGGTAATAGTGGACTATAGCTGGATCAGATCACATGCATTGTCTACACTACAAAACCTAGTGGACCTCTCCCCTCCTCATTCCCCTGAAAGCAGTAGGGTGCAGTTGGCCCTAGAGACAGTGATCTTGGATCAGTTTAGCATTTTACCCACTAATGGTTAGGATTGGGAAAGCTAGGATCATCTGTACCTAGGGGAAACTTCTCCCCAGAACTTTGTGAAAAGTGAGAAGGGAAATTATTGACAGGCAGTCAGGAAGGCAGGGAGGTGGTATACATAACGTACCAGGCTGTTCAGTAACGTCCACCTTCGCTATGTTGACGCCCATGTCCTCACCCCAGTTGGCAAACTCATTCCACTCGGGCTGGAGCTGTTGGCACGCCGGACACCACGGGGCAAAACTGCCGGGACGAGTGAGGTGGGGCCAAACATTGGCATGACAATAACATTAACTAACGTTAGATACCGTTTTTCAACAACAAAAATATTTGACACAACTACCCCCAAGATTCAATGGCAGCAGTTGTCAAAAACATGTTATGAATGACAGGTCAACATGTCTTAACTACACCATACAACTAGCTACCTAACAACAACACTCAGTAGTCCAGCAGCCTAGCTCTAGCTTTCCAACTCCACCATCGTCTGTCACATCATTTGACATTAATCTGAAAGCATGGACTTTAGATTGTTAGCTGCAAGCCTATGAATTTTTTTTAACGTTAGCTAGCTGGCGTTAGCAAGCTGACTGGCTATGTAAGATCGGAACTAGCTAGCTAGGTGTGCCCTCTCGGTGTGGCAATCAACAAGTGCCGAGTCAAGACTAGAAAACGACCTATTGCAAAGCAACGTAGCTGTATGTCTAGCCAGACAAACTAAGCAGCTAGTTTAGCATGCTTGCTAGCTAACTAGCTGGACTTACAATTCAATCATCCATTCCCCTGCCAAGATGTCTTCCCAGTTTCCGTCAGTGATCTCTTTGAGGCTGCTCGGTTTGGCCAAGGTTGGCTGCGCCGTCAGGTAAATAAGCAAAAGGAGTGAACATGTTAAGAGATTAGATTTTGATCGCCAAGGTAAAGAAGATAACATAGCGTCGCCAATTTTGTGATCCAGCAAAGGCGCCATGTTTAGGTCAACTCGTCCACCGTCTCTACTTCCGTTTACCTAGTCCTAGCTACGTCTGGTCAGAAACCGCCCCTCAGCAGTTTTCTAAACAACTGTAAAATATACTGCTCACATTGACACCTCTCTAATGTCACAGAAAAACACACAATGGGTGGTATTTTATTTTCTAGTTTAGCAATTTAGCAATGCAAAATATGTGTTTGTTACATTGTTCCTTGCCGCTTTTGGCACGCAAATGAAATGTTACATTCAAGACCGCAACGTTTTGCAACGTCTTAAAATAAACCATTTCTGCTTTATGTTTACCACCAGAAAGTGACACTGTTGCCCATAAAGTGTGTGCGTGCGGGTTGAATAAAGAGAAAACAATGCATTAAAAATCCATAAATGTAGAATTCTTGTGCAATTCATATCAATAGGCTCTATTGAGGTGTTTCTTTCATTATTTTTATCTGGCGTTAGTGCGTCGCATAAATCTAAGCTTCAGGGCCCAACTGTACATTTGCCAGATACATGCCAATTGCAAATGCTTTTGGGAACTTGCGCAAAAAAAGTTAAAGTCGATCCACTGAGGCAAAAAGGACAATGTCTGAGTTTAATTTAATAAGAGAAAAGCTGTGAAATGGAGAGTTGAAAATAAATAGAAGGCAGGGTCAAACTTTAGTAGCCTAATGTTTGGGAAATATTTGGTGAAGTGGTAAAAAAGGATGATAGCAGTGCCGGCTATGTTATGTGTGATGATTGTGAGGCGCTATACAAATTCAAGTCACAAGATGGGGACTTTAACATCGCACGTCAAGGGAACTGTAGGCTAGGCCTATTGCTTAGATGGGTTAAATGGAATAGGAACCTAAAATCTGGACACTGACTGTATCTATAACCTCTCACATAGCCTAATATAATATTAACTCCTGCAGAATTAAGCATTTCTTGCAGTAAAATGATACACTAAATGTACATTTTGCCTTGGGAACAGGAGTGGATAAATATTATTGATTTATTTCAGCATCTTGAGAGACTGAATGTGTGGTTAGGGACCATCTGAAAAGGTTGTCTTTATCATCATCATAGTATTTCAACCACATAAAATATGCCTCTGCATCCAAGCCGAACTGAAATCTTATCAGAAACATCTCTGACTGCACAGCACATTTTCAATATTTGCTGGTTAGGGTCTGGTGCGGGCCTCAGATTTTCACTTTATCACATATCGTCTGGCGGTTACAGATGGGTTATTAGAATTGTGGACTGGCGTGGGTGACAAACAGCTGACAGGCGCATCATAGTGTGTGTGTGTGAGAGAGAGATATTATATATTATGTACTTTAACTATTTGCACATCTTTACAACCATAGCAGTGGAGGCTGGTGGGCTCATTGTACTGGCTGGAATGGATTTAATGGAACGGTATCAAAAACATCAAATATATGGAAACCACATGTTTGACTCTGTTCGATTGATTCCATTCGAGCTATTAAAATGAGCCCGTCCTGCAATAGCTCCTCCCACCAGCATCCATTGGTACATAGCCATAATATGACATTTGAAATGTCTATTTCTTTAAAACTTTTGTGAGTGCTACTCCTACTGCTCTTTCCTCATCTGACCGTGTGTTCTCGCATACCCGAGAGCATCTTGTCAGCGCGGTGGGGACACAGGAATCCTCATCTCTCCCAAGTGGACATTCTCTCTTTTTCCCCTGACCCATCTGTCTATCTCCTCATTTGAATTACATGCTGTCACAATCACTAGCCCATTCAAGCTTAACATCCTTGTCATTTATCATCCTCCAGGTTCCCTTGGAGAGTTCATCAATGAGCTTGATGCCTTGATAAGTTCCTTTCCTGAGGATGGCTCATCGCTCACAGTTCTGGGTGACTTCAACCTCCCTACGTCTGCCTTTGACTAATTTCTCTCTGCCTCCTTCTTTCCACTCCTTTCCTCTTTTGACCTCACCCTCTCACCGTCCCCCCCTACTCACAAGGCAGGCAATACGCTTGACCTCATCTTTACTAGATGCTGTTCTTCTACTAATCTCACTGCAACTCCCCTCCAAGTCTCCGACCACTACTTTGTATCCTTTTCTCTCTCGCTCTCCTCCATCACTACTCACTCTGCCCCTACTCAGATGGTAATGTGCCGTCGCAACCTTCGCTCTCTCTCCCGCTACTCTCTCCTCTTCCATCCTATCATCTCTTCCCTCTGCTAAATCCTTCTCCCTCCGATCTCATGATTCTGCCTCCTCAACCCTCCTCTCCTCCCTTTCTGCATCTTTTGACGGCCGGCTCGGTCCTCCCCTCCTGCTCTGTGGCTTGACGACTCATTGCGAGCTCACAGAAGAGGGCTCCGGGCAGCCGAGCGGAAATGGAGGAAAACTAGACTCCCTGCGGACCTGTCATCTTTTCACTCCCTCCTCTCTACATTCTCTTCCTCTGTTTCCGCTGCTAAAGCCACTTTCTACCACTCTAAATTTCAAGCATCTGCCTCTAACCCTAGGAAGCTCTTTGCCACCTTCTCCTCCCTGCTGAATCCTCCTCCTCCTCCTCCTCCTCCTCCTCCCTCCTCCCTCTCAATGGATGACTTCGTCAACCATTTTGAAAAGAAGGTTGACGACATCCGATCCTCATTTATTAAGTCAAATGACACCGCTGGTCCTGCTCACACTGCCCTACCCTATGCTTTGACTTTTTTCTCCCCTCTCTCTCCAGATGAAATCTTGCGACTTGTGACGCCGGCCGCCCAACAACCTGTCCGCTTGACCCTATCCCCTCCTCTCTTCTCCAGACCATTTTCGGAGACCTTCTTCCTTATCTCACCTCGCTCATCAACTCATCCTTGACCGCTGGCCATGTCCCTTCCGTCTTCAAGAGAGTGAGAGTTGCACCCCTCCTCAAAAAACCTACACTCGATCCCAACAACTACAGAACAGTATCCCTTCTTTCTTTTCTCTCCAAAACTCTTGAGCGTGCCGTCTCTAGCCAACTCTCCTGCTATCTCTCTCAGAATGACCTTCTTGATCCAAACCAGTCAGGTTTCAAGACTGGTCATTCAACTGAGACTGCTCTTCTCTGTGTCACGGAGGCTCTCCACACTGCTAAAGCTAACTCTCTCTCCTCTGCTCTTATCCTTCTAGACCTATCCGCTGCATTTGATACTGTGAACCATCAGATCCTCCTCTCCGAGTTGGGCATCTCCGGCGCTGCTCACTCTTGGATTGCGTCCTACCTGACAGGTCGCTCCTACCAGGTGGCGTGGCGAGAATCTGTCTCTGCGCCACGTGCTCTCACCACTGGTGTCCCCCAGGGCTCAGTTCTAGGCCCTCTCCTATTATCTCTATACACCAAGTTACTTGGCTCTGTCATATCCTCACATGGTCTCTCCTATCATTGCTATGCAGACGACACACAATTAATTTTCTCCTTTCCCCCTTCTGATAACCAGGTGGCAAATCGCATCTCTGCATGTCTGGCAGACATATCAGTGTGGATGTCGGATCACCACCTCAAGCTGAACCTCGGGTAGACGGAGCTGCTCTTCCTCCCGGGGAAGGACTGCCTGCTCCATGATCTCGCCATCACGGTTGACAACTCCGTTGTGTCCTCCTCCCAGAGTGCAAAGAACCTTGGCGTGACCCTGGACAACACCGTGTCGTTCTCCGCTAACATCAAAGCGTACGACCCTACCTTACACAGAAAGCGGCACAGGTCCTAATCCAGGCACTTGTCATCTCCCGTCTGGATTACTGCAACTCGCTGTTGGCTGGGCTCCCTGCCTGTGCCATTAAACCCCTACAACTTATCCAGAACGCTGCAGCCCGTCTGGTGTTCAACCTTCCCAAGTTCTCTCATGTCACCCCACTCCTCCGCACACTCCACTGGCTTCCAATTGAGGCTTGCATCTACTACAAGACCATGGTGCTTGCCTACAGAGCTGTGAGGGGAACGGCACCTCCTTACCTTCAGGCTCTGATCAGACCCTACACCCAAACGAGGGCACTACGTTCATCCACCTCTGGCCTGCTAGCTCCCCTATCTCTACGGAAGCACAGTTCCCACTCAGCCCAGTCAAAGCTATTCGCTGCTCTGGCACCCCAATGGTGGAACAAGCTCCCCCACGATGCCAGGACAGCGGAGTCACTGACCACCTCCGGAGACACTTGAAACCCTACCTCTTCAAGGAATACCTGGAATAGTATAAAGTAATCCTTCTTCCCCCACCCCCCATAAAAATAAAAAAAATGACAAAAAAGGTAGTTGTCCCACTGGCTATCATAAGTTGAATGCACCAATTTGTAAGTCGCTCTGGATAAGAGTGTCTGCTAAATGATGTAAATGTAATGTCTACTGTTAATTTCTGATTGTTTATTTAACTTTTGTTTATTATCAATTTCACTTGCTTTGGCAATACAGCCCTTTGAATTGAATTTGATATTTAAGCCACGTTCATGTGCTAGTCAGAACTAGGAGACTCTGAAATGTCCTACTTGTTAACTGGTTGTAGTTATACACGTGCCTCGTTCAACCATTTAGCGAGTCGAAAAAATTTGAGTTTCCTAGTTCCGACTAGTACGTGAATGCGGCATTAGCTATAATGAAACCACTGAATGCAAATTCCCATAAATTAAAACAATGCAAACCATCGTAGTTGTAATGTGTATAAACTGAGTTTAGGAGACGTTACAACAATCTACCCGCTGAGGATGACTAACTACAAACCAATACAGTCCCAATGCATTACATGGTCCCATTCACGATTTTCAAAAGACTGACCCCTCCCTCGGACCGCCCCTTTAGTCCCTTGGCTAGTCATGTGACAAATAAACCGCTGCAATATTTTGGGGGCGGAGACTTGTTCAAATTCAAGTGTCCAATCAATGGTGGGTTTCTGACCAAGTCACTATAATCATCCAATGAAACGCCGTATCAGAGATTACTGGGCACGTCGGGGGATTTTGAATTTTCAGCAGCATCACTATTGTCTTTCCGAGCGAAGTGGCAAAAGTACCGCTTTTGGGTGAGTTCGGATTTCTAGATACAACTTTTTTATTTGTAGCAAGTTGGTAAAGCAGATAGTTAAATTGGACACAATATTGTTTTGAACAAGTCCGCTGTGACTTTTACTTTGTTTACATTCGATATGAATAACAGTCTAGCTAGCGCTAAATTAGGCTAGCCAACGGTAGTTTGACTAGCTAGCTAGCTAGTTAGTTAGCTATCTAAGCTAAAGTGCATAAAAGCAGAGGAATAATATATTTGATAAAAGGCAGTAGAGTTATACCTCAGTCATAACCAAGACATATGATTAAAAGCGAGTCAGTAGCAGAGAGTTTGATTTTTGTTTTTGAAAGTTAATGATTCTCCACTAACGAAAAGTATGCGATACATTTTATTAAAATTATTGCTAAATATCACATCCATAAAAATACATTTTTAGGGAAAAGACCATCTTATTCAGTATTTTTTAAGGTGTGCTTAAATAATTACTTTGGCACATTGAATAGTATGCTCTGTAAGAATAAGGTATTTAAATCAATTGATACTCTTAAGCTTTTCAAAAAAGAAGTTGAACTTAAAAACCCTGTATGAGTTTCTGTTTTTATCTGTTTGATATTTTGTGTAAAAAATAATAATTACGAAGGATGTATAGATTTTTATAACACATTTGAATTTGTATCCTTCAAAATGTATGGAATTTCAATATTAGCAGAGAACTTGTATTCATACGTCCTAATAGTTAGTTATGCATGTATGTGAACTGTGATGATCAAACACTATTTACTGAGTCAAACCTGTCAGCTAAACTTTGTCACACTAGTAGCCCTATAAATATGATTCCAAATTCCTTATCATTTTATATTAACTTTCACATTTGGAAATTGTAAAAAAATAAATAAAACATCAATAAAAAAAAAAAGACTATCCAAATTGTGACATTTTATATAAAACATAATGAATCTAGCTTACTATTTAACTAGCACTGCCTCCATTCAAATATGCTCAGCAAACTAACATCTCCCCTCCCAGGATATGCTGGTTGAGGCTTGACATAGCTAGCTACAGATATTGAAGCAGGATGAGCTGGGCAGTGGAGGAGTGGAAGGATGGTCTTTCAGGCAAAGCCCTGCAGAAGATACAAGAGATTGAGGGACAGCTGGACAAGCTGAAGAAGGAGAGGACTCAGAAACAGTTCCAGCTCGACGCACTGGAGGCTGCTCTACAAAAACAGAAACAAAAGGTTGGTGACTTAAGTTATGATGTTGAATTCCAAAACATTAACTATACTTTCTCCTAGGGGGAATTTGTGTTTTGGCATTCAGTTTGTGTGTTTGACATTCAAAGTTGTGTGTTCTCCAGGTTGACAGTGAGAAGACCGAGGCGTCGGCTATTAAGAGGGAGAACCAGGCCTTAGTAGAGTCATGTGACGCCCTGGAGAAGGCCCGTCAGAAGGCGACCCATGACCTGGGGGTCAAAGTGCAACAGGTCAGCAACCTGGAGGGTCAGCTCGGCACCAGCAAGAAGACCATAGAACGACTGGAGCAGGAACTCAAGAAGTGAGTCGTTTGCTCAGTACTACTGTACACCAGGGCTGTACCAGATATACGTTGGCTTTGTGCACATACTGTAGATGGTTAGCTAGCCTAGGAATAGGATAGTTTAAAACATGGTAATAACACTGTATTCCTCTCTACAGATATAAGAATGAAAAGGACCGTTCTCAGCCCTCCCACTCCTCTGATGTACAGTCCTACAGCACTCCTCAGAAGACCTTGGCCACTCCTGCTGCTACCCCCAGCTTCAGACAGCATGGTAGAGCCCACTTCCTCTGTGTATTTGTCAAGGTGCAGTTGTTGCCAGGGTTCCATTTAAAACCAAAAAGTAAACAAAATTCTGATTCCAATTCCAAATATTCCTCTTTGAAAAACATTGGAGAGAATTTCAGTGTACTTCCTGAATTGACTGGAATTTAAATGAAATTGACCCCAACCCTGGTAGAAGGTGCCATAACTAGTATAATCTGTCTGTTTTAAATGCATGGTCATGGTGTGAACAGTTTCTCTCCCTCCCAGACTCCAGGCTGGAGGACCTTCAGGAGAGACACAACCAGGAGGTGGAAGAGAGGAAGAGACTGGAAGCCGAACTCAAAATCACACAGGTCAAAGTGAGTTGAAATGCTCAGTAGCACCACCACACAGTCCGATGCAGTGCAGGGGCTACAACTGGAGTGGTTTTGTTAGCATGATAATCCACTATGACACTCTGGAACTGAAAGGTTGCTGGTTCAAATACCCGAGTCGACAAGGTGAAACATCTTTCGATGTGCCCTTGAGCAAGGCACTTAACCCTAATTTGCTCCAGGGGCGCCGTACTACTATTGCTGACCCTGTAAAATAACACATTTCACTGCACCTATTTTTATTTTTTATTTAACCTTTATTTAACTAGGCAAGTCTGTTAAGAACAAATTCTTATTTACAATGACGGCCTACACCGGCCAAACCCGGACGACGCTGGACCAATTGTGCGCCGCCCTGCGGGACTCCCAATCACGGCCGGTTGTGATACAGCCTGGAATCGAACCAGGGGGTCTGTAGTGACGCCTCAAGTACTGAGATGCAGTGCCTTAGACCACTGCGCCACTCGGGAGCCCACACCTATCCGGTGTATGTGACAGTAAAACATATATACCTGTTGAACCGGTCATATAAGCCAAAGCGTTGTTGTTGCTTTGAAAAAGCATCACAAATGGGATGTACAGATGCGGTCAAAAGTATTGGCACCCTTGCATAATTCACTATTTCTTCTAAAATAGTTTGAAATGGAAAAAACTGTTGGTGTTTACAGGTGTATTTGTTTGATTTACAACTGCAGAGGACCAAGAATAAAAAATCTAAACTGAAATTGTGATTTTTCACTAAAAAAAATATTTTAAGTAAAAAAAATGGCCTGCACTAAATTATTCTAATTGGAGGCTGATTCTCGTTTATTCTGTAATTTAATTCACCTGTAGTGCAGGTGCCTATAGGTAAAAATAGCCATTCAACCATTTACAAATAAAAGTAACAAAATATATACAACATTCTGCTCCGTTGTAAATTGCACGGGTGCCAATATATTTGACTACGTATGTATGGTATAATACTGGTCCCTGCCGGATTTCACTGCGTTTTTGAAAAATATTTGTGGACAAAAATGCTTGACTTTGCTGTTATTAAAAAAAAATCCAATTGTCAAAAAAATGCACTGATGGGGAAAACGTTTTTGGGCGTGACTTGATTAAACCATTTTGTGCGGTGATTAGTTAAAATTGCGAGCCCTCTTTTTGTAATGCGGTGAGCAGACAGTTTTATGCTGTAATATTGCAGTGATTTGTCCAATTTGCAAGCCCACGCGTAATATGCGGGGAATTGTTGGTTTTGCACACCAAAAAATTGCAACTGCTGGAGGGACTGTAATACGATACGTAGTGATACGTGGTTCTGTCTCGTTTTCTAGCTGTTGAACCAGTCGTCCGTCAGTCATAAGGACATTGCCGCCCGGCAACAAGCAGGCTCCTCCATATTCCCATGGCAACAGCAGGACAAGGGCCGCCAGTCCCAGGACACCATTGAAACGCCCCTGACGAGACGAGCAGTGGGCGGGACATCCACTGGCGGCTTCCTGTGGAACACAGAGGATACACCAATCAAACCCATCCAGCGAATCAGCACATCTGTATCCCAGTTTGACTCTGATGGCTCCTCCTCCCAGCAGATGGAACAGCTGAGGACACTGAATCAAGGTTAGGCCACGCCCTGTTATACTAATAGTATTGTTTACAAACCCGGGCCGGGTCACAGTCAGTAGGCACATTCCTGGCCGGGTCACAGTCAGTAGGCACATTCCTGGCCGGGTCACAGTCAGTAGGCACATTCCTGGCCGGGTCACAGTCAGTAGGCACATTCCTGGCCGGGTCACAGTCAGTAGGCACATTCCTGGCCGGGTCACAGTCAGTAGGCACATTCCTGGCCGGGTCACAGTCAGTAGGCACATTCCTGGCCGGGTCACAGTCAGTAGGCACATTCCTGGCCGGGTCACAGTCAGTAGGCACATTTGTGAGAAAACGCTTTGTAACGGAAAAACAAAATGTTCTGACTGGAGAAACTCGGGAAGTGTAGTCACGTCTCCTTGTTTCTCAATGTTTGGTCCTGTTTTTTTTTGTCCTGTCAGAGCTGAAGAGTAAAGTGTCTGAGCTGGAGCAGCGTCTGCAGTCACAGGAGAAGGACACGAGGCTGCAGAGCGGCAGGCTCCAAGAGCTACAAGGCCAGCTGGACCAGGCTAGGAGAGACCTGACAGACAGAGACAAGACCCTGGGCAAGAGCAGGGATGAACTTAGCAAGGCTACCACTCAGCACGAACAAGCTGTCGCCAAGGTAGAGGATATGTGGAGTATTAAAAAAATAACATAATTTGCTAATGCATACCTGTTGTGTTTCTGAGGGCTGTTTTGAACACAAGTAAATGAATGAACCATTACTTTGTCTCCTCCCAGTGTGTGTCAGTGGAGCAGAAATTGAAGCAGGTCTCTGAGGAGATGTCCTGCCAGAGGCACAATGCTGAGAGCTGCAGACGAGCTCTGGAACAGAAGGTCAAGGACCAGGAGAAGGAGAGCCAGAAGGTTTGCTGCTTTTGTCCTTTCAGACTTTGTAGTTGAAATTAATACTGTGAATCCACCTGTGGCAACTTCAATCTCTGTTACCCATGTTTGTTTTTTGTGGAACAGCTGTTGCTGAAAGGAGGTGTATTAATGTATGTTTCCTTGTGTTTGTGTGTAGGAGCTGGCCCACCTCCAGAACAGCCACCACGCCCTAGAGCAGCAGTTTAACCAGACCAAGACCAAGCTGAACCAGGAGATACAGCAAGCCAAGAAAGACCACAACATCCTGCAGGCTGAGATGGACAAGGTAATGTAATACGTTGTGATTATGGGCTGGAGTTATTCATTTCTACACGTTACTGCCAACCACTCAAAGATCACTTCCTGTTACCAAGTATGTCATTTCCCTCCCTGCCCTCTGCCAGGTGTCATGCCAGAGGAGCCAGCTGGAGAGAGACCAGGAGGAGCAGAAACAGAAGCTGCTGAGGTCGGAACAGAGCCTACAGGCCAGCCAAAACAAGGAGCAGGACCTCAGGAAGAAATTTGAGGTGTGCCATGATTTATGGAATTTCTCTTTAAACCTGTTATGTATTCCTCTGTAACGTGTTCATTTGTGGAAAAATGTGCTGGACTAAATAAACCAAAAAACACAATGAAACCACACACACACACACAAAAAGTACTATTTTATTAGATGCACACAATGTTTCACACCTAGCCTGGGTGGTCTTTTTTTTGGGGGGGGGGGGGGGGGGGGGGGGGTAGATCAGCTTAAAATTGCAGATAGATTGTAACTTCCATCAATGTAATTGTCTGCATCACTTCCAATCCCCCATGTTTTTTTATATATATACTCCCCTTTATTACTTTTCAACCCCTGGGTGGTCTTTTGAGGAAATGTGTACGTCCTCCATCTTGGAACCAGAGCTATGCTCCATCTTGAAACCAGAGGTAATCTGATTGTGTGTTTAACTTGTCCAGGAGATGCAGAGAGAGAAGAACGTTGTGAGCGCCCAGCTGGACCAGGGCAGCAAGAGGCTGTCTCAGCTGGAGGAGGAGAGGAAGACCTCTGAGCAGAACCTCAAACGCACCCAGAGCATGCTGGATGACTTCAGAGGTAGGTTGTTGTTGTTTCTTTACCTTTATTTATCCAGGTACTCATTGCGATAAAATCTCTTGTTTAAGAGAGACCTGGTGCATGGTCTCCAAACCTATCTATTATGATTTAGCAATGTAAAAAAAAAAATAATGTGTTTGAAATACTAAATTGTGATGTGTTTGATGTGATGTGTTTGATGCCTTGTCATATCTCTAGTTTTAGCTTCCTCACATTAGATGTTGTTTCTGTTTGGCTGTTGTTCAACAGCCAAAAATGAAGCCCAGTGCGACGAGCTGAAAGGACTTGTCACTAAACTGGAAAGCCAGACCAGATCGTCAGCCCAAGATCTAGAGAACCTAAAGAAAACGCTCGCAGACGCAGAGACCAAGAATGACAAGACTCAGAGTGAACTGAAGACACACAAACAGGAAGTGGAACAGATCACAAACAAACACAACGCTCTGGAGAAGGAGATCCAGGAGCTGAAGACAACCCTGACCACCACACAGAGCGAGTGTGTGCAGCTGAAGAAGGAGTACGAGACACTTCAGGGATGGAAAACAGAGAAGGAGACACTCGTTAATGAGACTGAGGCTGTGCAGCAAGGCTTTGCTGACAAAATCACTGAGCTGGAGAAGAGTCTGGGCTCGTTGAACGACGATAACAGTGGTCTAATGGAGCAGCTGAAGACTCTGGATGCTGAGAAGGCTTGTCTATCGGGGCAAGATCGACTCCCTGAAGGGAGAACTCCTCAACAAGTGCACCGACCTGGAGGAGAAGGGCCACATGTACGAAGAGCTCCAGAAACAGCTGGAGGAGTCTGACCAGAAACACTCCAATGACCTGGACAACGTTGGGTTACAGGTGACCCAGCTGGAGGGACAGGTGAAGGACCTGGAGTCCAGGCTGCAGGTGGAGACTGGCAGGGCGGAGCGGGCCGAAAGGTCTCACACTGTTCTCCAGGAGCAGTACCAGGCGGCCTGCGACCTGGCCCGGTCTAAAGATGCTCTGGTGGAGTTGGGCCAGAGCGAAGTAGCCCAGCTCCGGGAGAGCCTGGCTCAGATCACGGCCCTGCAGGAGGAACAGCTGGCCAGGTTTACCCAGGAGAAGAGCACCCTCCTGAAGGAGTGTGAGGAAAGCGTAGCGGCAAAGGCAGACGAGGCTGAGCAGGCCAAGCTGAGCCTGGTTAAGATTCAGCAGGAGCTGCCATTCCTCCAGGACCAGGTGGCTTCGCTGGAGTCCAACCTGAAGATCCAGAAAAGTTTGGGTGTTGCCCTACAGGCCAAGTATGACAACCTTGTCAATACTAAAGAGGATCTTGTGGAGAAGCTTTCCGAGGCAGAAAAGCGAGGGGAAAGTCTTCAGGGTGAAGTCAATAGCCTCTCAGAGCAGGCGAAGACTGTCGGCTCTCTACAGGAGCGCTGTGATAATCTGACAGCTGCGGCACAGGAGACCATAAGCGCTCTGCAGAACATGACCGAGACCCTGACCCAGACTGAGACAGAGCTGCAGACACTGAGAGACATGGTTGAGAAACTGGAAGCTCAGCTGAGCGAAGCTGAGACAAAGGCCTCAAATCTTGAGAGGGACAAGGCAGAGATGGTAGAGAAGATCCAAAGGGAAGCTGAAGAGGTTTCTGTGAAGTATCAAAGCCTTCAGGACTCCCAGGAAGAGGAGAGGAATGGTTTGCTGAAGAAGATCTCTACATTGAAGCACAGACTCGCTGAGAATGACGCTGCTTCCACCCAGCTGTCTTCTGATCTGAAGAACTCCCTAGAAGCGCTGCAGAAGACCCACTCTGCTGCCGTGGAGCTCAACTCCAACTTGGAGAGCAGCCTGGTGGAGAAAACAAACCTAATCTCCTCTCAGGAGAAGGAAGTCAAAGAGCTCTCAGAGAGACTCCGTAAGGAAACCGAGAGCCATGTTACAGAGATGGAGACTTACCTCCAGAAACAGAGAGGCCTGAAGGAGCAGCTTGAGATTGTAAAGAGCCAGCTGGAGAGTAAAAGCCAGGAGGCAGCCGAGGCTGAGGAGAAGTGGGAGAGGGCCTCACTAGAACTGTCTAAGCTGAGAGAAGATTTGTCTTCTGCCAGAAACAGTGTCGATGAGAAAGGCCGTAAGATCAAGAGTCTGAAAGAGAGGTTGAACCAGGCTGAGTCTGAACAAGACAAAGCTACCGAGGCCCTGAAAGAGAAGGTCATCAGCATGAACAAGATCAAGGTCCAGCTGGAGATGCTTCAGATGGACCTGGAGGACAATGAGGCCTGCATGAACTCCTTTGACACCCAGATAGAGGAGCTCAAAGGAACCGTGGAGGAACTCCGAGGAACCGTGGCCTCTCTGGACGGGAGACTGGAGGAGAGCGCGACGCAGAGGTCCACCTTGGAGACCGAGCTGGGCTCTGTCAAAGAGCAGCTGTCAGAGAAGAGCTGTGAAGTCACCCAGCTGACAGCAAGTCTCGAAGACGCTCGCCAGCAGGCAGGTTTAGTGGAATCACTCCAGGCCACTGTCGATGGGCTGATGGAGACTCTGGAGGAGGTGGTTAGAAAACACAGCCATCTGGAGATGGACATCATTCAGCTCACTGAGGAGAAGGAGCAGTTGACTGTGGAGAAGGAGTATATGACTGTGGAGAAGGAGCAGTTGACTGTGGATAAGGTGCAGTTGACTGTGGAGAAGGAGCAGTTGACTGTGGAGAAGGAGCAGTTGACTGTGGAGAAGGAGCAGTTGACTGTGGAGAAGGAGCAGTTGACTGTGGAGAAGGAGCAGTTGACTGTAGAGAAGGAGCAGTTGACTGTAGAGAAGGTGCAGTTGACTGTGGAGAAGGAGCAGTTGACTGTGGAGAAGGAGCAGTTGACTGTGGAGAAGGAGCAGTTGACTGTGGAGAAGGAGCAGTTGACTGTGGAGAAGGAGAACGGGAGACAGTTGACTGTGGAAGGAGAGTGACTGGAGAAGGAGATTGACTGTGGAGAAGGAGCAGTTGACTGTGGAGAAGGAGCAGTTGACTGTGGAGAAGGAGCAGTTGACTGTGGAGAGGCATTGACTGTGGAGAAGGAGCAGTTGACTGTGGAGAAGGAGCAGTTGACTGTGGAGAAGGAGCAGTTGACTGTGGAGAAGAGCGTTGACTGTGAGAAGAGAGTGACTGTGGAGAGAAGGGAGCAGTTGACTGTGGAGAAGGAGCAGTGCTGTGGAGAAGGCAGTTGACTGTGGAGAAGGAGCAGTTGACTGTGGAGAAGGAGCAGTTGACTGTGGAGAAGGAGCAGTTGACTGTGGAGAAGGAGCAGTTGACTGTGGAGAAGGAGATTGACTGTGGAGAAGGAGCAGTTGACTGTGGAGAAGGAGCAGTTGACTGTGGAGAAGGAGCAGTTGACTGTGGAGAAGGAGCAGTTGACTGTGGAGAAGGAGCAGTTGACTGTGGAGAAGGAGCAGTTGACTGTGGAGAAGGAGCAGTTGACTGTGGAGAAGAGGCAACTCGAGGCTGACTTGCAGAGGCACGGTCTGAATGCTGGAGACGAGAGGGACGCGGTCAAACAGGAGAACGAGTGTCTCCAGCGTACGCTACAGAGCCTGACGGAGAACTACGAGGCTGTTCAGGCTGCGTTTGAGAGAGCGACCCGGCAGAGCGAGGACCAGGCCAGAGAGAGGCTTGGAAAGTTTGAGAGGGAACAAACAGAGCTCCACCAGAGACTGAGTGGACTGCAGGGTGAACTGGCCCTGTTCAAGGAGCAGTATGACAGCCTGATGACACAGGTAAATCGAAAAGAGAGAGAACTAATTGTTTATGTAATTTGGGGATTTAGTTTTTACTGTTTATTTTACCAAGCAGGTCAAATTCTTATTTACAATGATGGCCTGTATTGTATAGGTCCTTGGGAGTAAAATGTTTTTAGGAAATTGAAATGCATTATAATTATTATGACAGGCAAGTCAGCAGCAGTCCCTCATAGAGCAGCTTCAGACCAAGAGAGACCAGACGGTCTGTACAGGAGCGGTGGACGGACCGACTTCCAGACAGACGTCAGGCTCCTTCGTCAACGTCAGCTTACCCCTAAAAGACGATACTGAGGAGATGAAACCCACAGGTTTGTTGATGATGATATGTTAAGACATTGAATTTGTAGTAGCTATGCTTTCCATTTACACAGATGTTGATGTACATGTTAATATAATAATATATACGCTTTTATCCAAAGTGACTTAGGAAATGCTATTGATGTGGGGGGGGGGGGGGGGTTCACAATGATTGACTTTATTTCATTGATCTCATCAGCGGCTGAGCAATCAGATGACCTCCACAACTCTGAGGTACCTCTACAGCCAGGGAGGGACCTCAACGATGAGCCGGCTGAGGAGTCCAGTGACTGCATGGATGAAGTCCCTGTAGAGCAGCAGAAAGCACTCCGTGAAAGCCTAGATAATGATGATATGACCCTCAGGGGTGAACATCCAGCAGTCTCCAGAACTCCCCCTGACCAGGACCAGCTGGACCAGAGCAGGGAGGCGGTCAGAAAGCTAGAGGAGGAGCTACAGACTCTCCACTCCCAGCTTGACCTCGCTACCTCTGAGATGACCCTCAGGAAGGAGCTGTGCTCCGAGCTGGAGGTCAAAGTTGAAGGGTTAGAGGTGAAGGTCCAACAGATGGAGGAGGAGAGGTGTGGTGCCGCGGAGAAGATTAGCGCTGCCCTAGTGGAGAGACGGACGCTAGGTTGGTTTTTAACAATAAACCTATCTCTTCAAAACACACCTTTGTTGACCCCCCCCAACGCCATACTGTTGTACTTGTCTTTCTTGCACTAACACTTATTAGCACTGATTTGGCTTATAGCTGCTTTTATGTGGAAGGTTTCTACTCTCAATAACGGTGATACGTGATTGTCTTACCTACCTTAGTTTAATGCAGTAACTGTAAGTTCCTCTGGATAAGTGTTCGCTAAATGACCAATATGTCAAAAAGGTTGCTGTTTCAATCTTTTGTCCTGTGTCCTGTGTATTATCATTAAAAGGGTGTTTTAATGATGACAATAAAATGCATTTATTATTATCAGGTGACCAGATCTCAGAGCTGACAGAGGAGGCAGAGTCCCTGAGACTGGAGCTGCAGACCTCCAAATGTCAGCTCTCTGATGTCATGGAGATGCTGGAGACACTGGAGATGGCCAAAGGTAAGGACCAGAAACCCAAATTGTGGAACTCTGGAAATGACAAATTCTATTATCTAATTTAATCTTTGTATTATGCATCATTTGAATAGTGCTAGCATCTAATTGGTTCCATTTTAGTGCTTTGGATGAATTAAGAGGTTATGATTCTTCCATCCTGAAGGTGGTTGGGGCGAGAGGTTCTTCCAGGTAGAGAGCGAGCTGAAGAGGGTTTGTTCTGAGAAGGCCAATCTGGAGAAACACATCCTCTCAATGGAGGCTGATCTGGAGTGCCTGACAGAGCAGAAAGTCAAGCTGGAGGGAGAGAGAGAGGCTAGCCGCAGGGCTAAAGCAAACCTGGAACAGCAGCTGGCCACCCTCACCTCAGAGAGCGGACAGCTCAGACAGGAGCTCGTGTCCTGCGCTGAGGACAGAGACGAGCTGGAACGGTCAGTGTCACAGTGGAGGGATAAGGCAGAGAGTCTGGAGAAGACAAACGTGGATACTAGAGAGGTTATTAAGATCTTAGAGGAAGATATCAGAAACGGGAAGAGAGAATCTAATGTGGCGTCTGCTAACCTGGAGAGTCTGCAGAAAGAGAGAGGTCAGCTGGTGCTGCAGTGTCAGACACTAGAGAAGACCATCACTCTGCAGAGCGGGGAGAAGGAAGACCTGATTAACCAACTGAACAGCTTTAAAGATAACCAGAGCTCTGCGAGCAGAGACACTGAGTCCATGGCCTCTAAGATCCAGTCTCTGGAAGGGGAGATCTCTAGACTAGCCCAGTCTCTGGAGTCTTCTCTGCTAGAGAAAGGAGAGATAGCCTCACGCCTCAACTCTACCCAGGAGGAGGTGGCCCAGATGAGGTCGGGCATCGAGAGGCTCCAGGTCCGCATAGAGTCAGACGAGAGGAAGAAGAAACACATAAGTGAACTGCTGAAGGCTGCCCAGAGGAAAGCTGATGCTCTTCAGGACCAGATAGACAAACAGGAGAGAGAGAGGGAAGAGGCTGACCAAAACCTAGAGGAGGCTGTGCTTCAGGCTGAGACGGCCATGGCCCAACTAGAAGAGTTTGAGGAAGAGAAGAAGGAACTGGCCAAGAAGATTGAGGAGATGACCGCCGAACTGGACAGCCTGAGAAATGAGAAGGAGAGGCTTGAGGGAGCGCTCTCCCTGAAGAACGCAGAGATTGAGGAGATGACCACCGAACTGGACAGCCTGAGAAATGAGAAGGAGAGGCTTGAGGGAGCGCTCTCCCTGAAGAACGCAGAGATTGAGGAGATGAAGGCAGCAAACCGAGCTGCCACTGAGGAGCTGGAGATTGGGATGAGAGAGGCTGAGGAGAAACAGAGGGCAGAGGTGGAGGGGTTACAGGCCCAGCTTGGCTCTGTGAGCTCTGAGCTGCAGACACGCAGAGAAGACCTGGAGGGGGAGAAGGAGAGAATGGTGTCTCTAGCGGCGGAGTGGGAGAAGGAGCGGGAGAGGCTGCAGCACTTAGTAGGGGAATGGAAGACTGAGGGGGAGAGGCTGAAGAAAGAGGTGGAGCGACTGCAGGCTTTGGAGGTCGAGTGGGAGAAGGAGAGAGAGATGCTGACTCTGAGAATGCAGGAGGATGTGGAGGCACATCAGAGAGAGATGGAGGACTTCAGAGAGAACCACAACACCCTGCAGCAAGAGATCGAGAAGCTGCAGGCGCTACTGTCTGAGTGTGAGCAGAAAGAACAGGCTCAGTCTGCAGAGAGACTAGAACTACAGCAGCAGGCAGAAAGCTATAAGGTCAGTGGGTTGATATAGTCATATTGTAGTCCTATTGATATCGTGTTGAATAGCCTATATTCTTAGTATGTGGGGTTTTCATTCATACGAGACAGGAATGATTTTGGTACTTTGTTTGGTCTTCTTTCTAACACACTACTGACTCCTCCCTGCGTCTCCTCCCTAGTTATCCCTGGAGGAGGTTACCTCAGAGAAGGAGGTGCTGAAGGCACAGCAGGAGGAGGAGGTGGCAGCCCTTAGGGGTGAGCTGACCTCGGAGAAGGAGGTGCTGAGGGGACAGTTGGCTGCAGCGGAGGAGAAGATCAGAGGTCAGCTGTCAGAGCTGAGCAGCCTGAGAACCAGAATGGAGGAGCTCAGAACTTCCATCACGGAGCAGGACAGCAGCAAACAGGTATACAGCACTTGTCACATTGTGTTGCTTTACAGCCTGGAATTTCAGTGCGTTAAATTAGGAGTGAAAACCACTTAAAAACAATTGATTCAACCAAAAAAAATCTGTAAGTGATTATTATGGTGACTAATATTATTTCTCTCTGGAGGTATCTGAGTTGAGCTCCAGAGTGGTCCATCTGTCTAAGCAGAGGGACGCAGCCCTCAGTAAGATGAGTCTGTGGATGAACTCCTGTAAACAGCTGGAGAAGGAGAGGGAGGCTCTTGTTCTGGAGACCCAGCAACTACAGGCCAGCCAGACACCAGGTACCATTATCTACTACATCACCATCAATAATGATTTAAATATCATTCATGTATGAAAACAGTAGGGCCCCCAGAATTTAACCCTGGGGAACCCCACAAGAATACTTACACAATCTGAAGTTATTTCAAATAATGTAACATCATATAGAGTTAATTGACAGGAACAATGCACATTAATCATAATTTCTGTAAACGTTGCTAAAACACAGAATTTCTTTTCTTCCTCTCATGTAAAACACCTTTAATGTAAAATCTTCCTGTAGTTCCAGCTGGTGAAGGGAGCAGTGAGGAGGTGCAGACTGAACTCAAAGAGTTGAAGAAAGCTCTAGAGGAGAGGAGTGAGGAGGTGCAGGAGCTCAGCAAGACTCTAGAAGAGAGGAGCAGGGAGTTGGAGGTTCAGAAGAGGAGCAGTGAGGCTGAATTGGAGGAGCTCACTGAATCCTTGGAGGAGAGGAGCAGGGAGGCGGACGAGAGCATGGATAAATACTGCAGCCTGATGGTCCGTGTCCACAAGCTGGAGGAGACCAACGACATGCTGAAAACACGCCTGGAGCGCCTTGTCACGCAGACCGCTAACAACACGGCTAGCAACACGGCTAACAACGCTAGCAACACGGCTAACAACGCTAGCAACACGGCTAACAACGCTAGCAACACGGCTAACAACGCTAGCAACACGGCTAACAACGCTAGCAACACGGCTAACAACGCTAGCAACAAAACACCCAGGAGAAAGTCAGGCAGGAGGTCAGCCGCCAGGGCACAGGAAGCACTCATCCCGTCGGCTCTCGTGGAGGCAGACTCTGAGAACACGGTGCCTGCTGGTCAGGGGTCTTTGGGGAAGAGGGGTTGTGGTGCGCTAGCAGCTAGCGACAACAGCAACACTCCATTTAAAGCCCAAGAGGCCCTGCTGAACACTGCCAAGAGGGTCAAAGCAACGGCAACCACGTCCAAACCAGGAAGTAGACAGGAAGAGGAGGAGTTTAGGCCAGAGGGACTTCCTGAGCTGGTGCAGAGAGGTGAGACCTGGGAACATAGTGTATGGATGATGGATTCCAACAACAACTTTGTTCTTATTGAAGCATAATAACCTGAGCTACTACTATCAGCCTCAATTTGTCTCTCTCTCTGTCTCTCAGGGTTTGCTGATATCCCTCTAGGAGAGGCCAGTCCCTATATCATAAGGAGAACCGCAGTGCAGCGCTGTAGCCCTCGTCTGGCCGCCGCACGGCACACTGCCACCACCCCCTCTGCAGCCCCCCAACACAAGGTGAGTTTTACACACACACACAGAGCACCTGCAGATTGTCACATGCACCTAGCAGCCAGAAACAAAGGCCCACACTGCACACAAAACACACACCCACACCCACAGGGGGCAGCAGAGTCCAGAAGGTGAGCCACACTGCAGTTAAATTACACTGAGTGTCATTGGCCAGCTGAGAGTGACATAAGTCCAGATAAACAATGTGCCATGGGAGAGATGGAGATGGTTATATTCAGTCAGTCAGCCAATTTTTTTTATTTGTATTTAACCTTTATTTAACTAGGCAATGCAGTTATGAACAAATTCTTATTTACAATGACGGCCTACACCGGCCAAACCCGGACGACGCTGGGACAATTGTGCGCCGCCCTATGGTACTCCCAATCACGGCCGGTGGTGATACAGCCTGGAATCGAACCAGGGGGTCTGTAGTGACGCCTCAAGCACTGAGATGCAGTGCCTTAGACCGCTGCCCCACTCGGGAGCCCAGCCTAACCTGGGTCACATCTGCAATGGGGACCCTCTTTTCTCGGCTTAGAAAATCACTCTTGACTACGGCTCGCTGAAGACCTGATAACATACACGTTCACTCACACACACTCATGTCAGTAGCTAGGTTTACATCCAATTGGCGACACATTTTCATGCGAATATTCTAAAATCTGCATAAAACGATATGCACATTTTCCCACCAGAGATGTTTCCATCAATTTTGACTTGTTGTAGATAAAAGGCTGTGTGATGACGTAGTGCACATACAAATTACTTCTGCTATTAAATTCCTGTGTACCCAATAAAATAAAAAAATGGCTAAATGAGTTTCCATCGCATTTCAACTCTACTTATGGTTTTGTCACAAAACAATTTGCGTTATATAGAGAATGTGCCCACTGGTCTTAGCAAGTGCGCTCTAGCCAACAGCTCGCAGTGAGGGAAGGCTACCTACATTATTATTTTTATATGTCAAATGACAACCAAGCATTGATCATGTAACCAGAATAAGACCCTCAATATTTATTGGAAAGGAGCATCAAGTTCATCACCGTGCACTTTCACCATCCTGTGAAGTTCATCATAACTGATTTAATTTGTAGCCTAACTGCGTGCTTTCCCTAGTCGTCGTGGGAGGACCACACAACATATCATTGTGTGACCGCCATTTCTGGCATAATTAATTTTACAGACACAGAAAGATGCCACCATGTCAAATGAACTAATTGTCTGCATTTATAGAATTGTACCGGCATTTCCTGTTTCAATCAGCTTTTTCCTCTCTCGGGCCCATTCAGGAGTAGCACTGAAAGAACACCCTCTCCATAACTCCGGTTTAATGGAAGATCACATGCATATTGGGGGCATATTAACTTGTGGTGAAGCCTCCCTGTGGTAGTTGCAGAGCTCAGGAGGTTGGTGGCACCTTAATTGGGGAGGAGGGCTCGTGGTAATGGCTGAAGTGGAATTAGTGGAATGGTATCAAATGCATCAAACACACGGTTTCCATGTGTTTGATGCCATTCCATTTGCTCCGTTCCAGACATTATTATGAGCCGTCCTTCCCTCAGCAGCCTCCTGTATTGCAGAGGGACTTTGTTATACTGTAACTAGCTCGTCATACCACCAGGTACCTTAGAAGCCGGAGGGGTGGACCCTTTAACTTTAGGACGACTGGAAGAGTCCACTCATGTCTCTGTCCATAACATGTCCATTAACCCTGCAGGTGCTGGAGCCCCTGGCCCTCCAGAGCCCTGCTGGCATGGCAACTCTGTCTGACAGCCCTGTTGGGAAAGGCCTGTGTGTTAGTCCCGCCTCCAGCGGCGAGGAGAGGCGTGGCCGTCGGTCCCTGAGCACACGGAAGACTCCGGAACAGAGGGAGAAACGCAAAGAGGCCATGATGACATCCTCACGCCAAGAGGAGAACTGCCAAGTGCAGTAACATAGAAACGAACTAACCTGTACAATACCTACCAGCAGTAGGTGCCAGTAACACCCCAGCCCAAACCAATGCGATGACAGAATACTGGTACATGCCGGTGTCACAATGTCCATTGTATGTCTAAAATGGCAGACCTGTAAATAGCATTACTAATGTCCATTATCTGTCTGCTCTCTGTGTGGTACAGGTGGAACCTGATTCTCTAATGGCAGCTGTAGATGTTAAATGTCTCTGTTCGTTTTGTTTTATATTTTCTATACCTCCTGATTTACTACTACCCATTAATAGCACAATGAGAGACTTTAATTTGAATGCGTTGTAATCTTTTATATGGCTGGTTGTCCAGACCCAAATTAATCCTATTGGACTGGAAAGCATGCCCGATGGAGGATCTCCATACCATTGAAATTACTTTTAAATGCAGGAATAAGGTTAATGTGTGTCTGGGGAAACCAGCCCATTAAGTCGTATAAGATTCACTCCAATACCTAGTTCTGTAGTGTTACTGGTGTGTTCTGTGTCAATAACTAACTAATAATTCCACTTCACTCCAGCTCATTGGTTGTACATATTGATGTAACTGCAGTTTTACAATACATTGATCACATTTGCTTGACTTGGTTGTCTCTTTTAATTGGTTTCACATCAGTGTACATATGATTTGAACTTACATGGTGTTCTCTCACTCTGCTACATTTACATTTGAGTCATTTAGCTGATGCTCCTATCCAGAGCCATTTACAGTAGTGAGTGGATACGTTTTCGTACTGGTCCCCCCGTGGGAATCGAACCCACGTTTCAAGCGCCATGCTCTACCAACTGAGCCACACGGGACCTTGCATTCAATCAGGCAGCAACTAGTCTGTGTGTACACGCACGTCGGCTCTCTCACAGTTTAGGATATTAATAATCCTGCCTTTTGAAGCCAGAGGGAGAGAGGTCTCACTGCGCGAAATAACCCTGTATCAAGATCGGACACGTCTTGACACACATTCTGACACAGCACACGTCAATGTGTATCCGAATGTGTCCAGGTCCGATATGAACCGTATCAAGACTTCCATCCTGACTGATGGCAGCCCATTCTTGCATAATCAATGCTTGGAGTTTGTCAGAATTTGTGGTGTTTTGTTTGTCCACCCGCCTCTTGAGGATCGACCACAAGTTCTCAATGGGATTAAGGTCTGGGGAGTTTCCTGGCCATGGACCCAAAACGTTAATGTTTTGTTCCCAGAGCCACTTAGTTATCACTTTTGCCTTATGGCAAGGTGCTCCATCATGCTGGAAAGGGCATTGGTCGTCACCAAACTGTTCTTGGATGGTTGGGAGAAGTTGCTCTCGGAGGATGTGTTGGGACCATTCTTTATTCATGGCTGTGTTCTTAGGCAGAATTATGAGTGAGCCCACTCCCTTGGCTGAGAAGCAACCCCACACATGAATGGTCTCAGGATGCTTTACTGTTGGCATGACACAGGACTGATGGTAGCGCTCACCTTGTCTTCTCCGGACAAGGTGTTTTCCGGATGCCCCAAACAATCGGAAAGGGGATTCATCAGAGAAAACGACTTTACCCCAGTCCTCAGCAGTCCAATCCCTGTACCTTTTCCAGAATATCAGTCTGTTCCTGATGTTTTTCCTGGAGAGAAGTTGCTTCTTTGCTGCCCTTCTTGACACCAGGCCATCCTCCAAAAGTCTTTGCCTCACTGTGCGTGCAAATGCACTCACACCTGCCTGCTGCCATTCTTGAGCAAGCTTTGCACTGGTGGTGCCCTGATCCCGCAGCTGAATCAACTTTAGGAGACGGTCCTGGCGCTTGCTGGACTTTCTTGGGCGCCCTGACGCCTTCTTCACAACAATTGAACCTCTCTCCTTGAAGTTCTTGATGATCCGATAAATGGTTGATTTACGTGCAATCTTACTAGCAGCAATATCCTTGCCTGTGAAGCCCTTTTTGTGCAAAGCAATGATGTGGTCCTCTGTAGCTCAATTGGTAGAGCACGGCGCTTGTAACGCCAGGGTAGTGGGTTCGATCCCCGGGACCACCCATACGTAAAAATGTATGCACACATGACTGTAAGTCGCTTTGGATAAAAGCGTCTGCTAAATGGCATATTATTATTATTATTATTATTATTATTATTATGACGGCACGTGTTTCCTTGCAGGTAACCATGGTTAACAGAGGAAGAACAATGATTTCAAGCACCACCCTCCTTTTTAAAGCTTCCAGTCTGTTATTCTAACTCAATCAGCATGACAGAGTGATCTCCAGCCTTGTTCTCGTCAACACTCACCTGTGTTAACGAGAGAATCACTGACATGATGTCAGCTGGTCCTTTTGTGGCAGGGCTGAAATGCAGTGGAAATGTTTTTTTGGGGATTAAGTTCATTTTCATGGCAAAGAGGGACTTTGCAACTAATTGCAATTCATCTGATCACTCTTCATGACATTCTGGAGTATATGTAAATTGCCATCATCAAAACTGAGGCAGCAGACTTTGTGAAAATTGGTATTTGTGTCATTCTCAAACCTTTTGACCACGGCTATATAGGCATGTCCAGTGTCTTTGGAAAGTATTCAGACCCCTTGACTTTTTCCACATTTTGTTAGGTTACAGACTTCCTTCTAAAATTGATTAAATCGTTTTTTTCCTCATCAATCTACAAACAATACCCCATAATGACAAAGCAAAAACAGGTTTTTAGACATTTCTGCAAATTTATAAACAAATTAAATAAGTATTCAGACCCTTTACTCAGTACTTTGTTGAAGCACCTTTGGCAGCAATTACAGCCTCAAGTTTCTTGGGTATGACACTACAAGCTTGGCACACCTGTATTTGGGGAGTTTCTCCCATTTCTTCTCTGCAGATCCTCTCAAGCTCTGTCAGGTTGGATGGGGAGCGTTGCTGCACAGCTTTTTCAGGTTTCTCCAGAGATGTTCGATTGGGTTCAAGTCCGGGCTCTGGCTGGGCCACTCAAGGACATTCAGAGACTTCTCCCGAAGCCACTCCTGCGTTGTCTTGGCTGTGTGCTTAGGGTCATTTTCCTATTGGAAGGTGAACCGTTGCTCCGTCTGAGGTCCTGAGCGCTCTGGAGAGGTTTTCATCAAGGATCTCTCTGTGCTTTGCTCTGCTCATATTTGCCTCGATCCTGACTAGTCTCTCAGTCCCTGCCGCTGAAAAACATCCCCACAGCATGATTTTGCCACCACCATGCTTCACCGTAGGGATGGTGCCAGGTTTCCTCCAGACGTGACATTTGGCATTCAGGCCAAACAGTTCAATCTTGGTTTCATCAGACCAGAGAATCTTGTTTCTCATGGTCTGAGAATCTTTAGGTGCCTTTTGGCAAACTCCAAGCGGGCTTTCATGTGCCTTTTTAGTGAGGAGTGGCTTCCGTCTGGCAATTCTACCATAAAGGCCTGATTGGTGGAGTGCTGCAGAGATGGTTGTCCTTCTGGAAGGTTCTCCCATCTCCACAGAGGAACTCTGGAGCTCTATCAGAGTGACTATCGGATTCTTGGCTACCTCCCTGACCAAGGCCCTTCTCCCACGATTGCTTAGTTTGGCCGGGCGGCCAGCTCTAGGAAGAGTCTTGGTGGTTCCAAACTTCTTCCATTTAAGAATAATGGAGGCAACTGTGTTCTTGGGGACCTTCAATGCTGCAGAAATGTTTGGTACCCTTCCCCAGATGTGTGCCTCGACACAATCCTGTCTCGGAGCTCTACGGACAATTCCTTCGACCTCATGGCTTGGTCTTTGCTCTGACATGCACTGTCCACTGTGGGACCTTATATAGACAAGATACTGACTGTTTTTCTGATCCATGCCTCTACCTCTTTTTTTTAAAGGTATCTGACCAGTGGCGGCTCCTGAAAAAATTCTCAGGGGGGGCAATTTTTCTGATGATTTAGGTGACCTACACACATTTTAAAAAAGATATGTCCAGCAACAACATGAAGACAGGGGCAGCATATAAGTCAATACCAGAAGCATTTATTGACTGATCTCAAAAGTGTTGGCTTACCACTGTTGGTGGAGCCCTCAGTTTCATCTTTGCCTCGCAAAGCTAACTCAAACACTCCGCAAAACTTCACACACTGGATTAGCCGGCTGAGGATGTGGCGGTTCTTGCTAATGTCGTAGTAAATATATTTGTTATAGTGAATATGGAATATGATATGTTGAGTAAAATGTTGTGCTAAGATCTATTTAGGTCAGGAGCTGGTTATAAGTTCTGTTCCTATCCAATAACAATGGACAAAAGGGTCCTATCTTGTCAGCCTTGTCAGTTTCAGTTCTCCAGTAAACTTGTGATTATCAACACTAACCTCATCGTTGTGGCGGCGGACAGCTAGCCTGTATCCCTCATCCAGTTGAGTGGGAATGTTCACTCTCCCATAAGCAGACAATCTCAAACAGCTATCCATGTGGGTCTTTGACAGCTCATGTTTCTTAATCTTTCCTGAAAGATGGTGCATGTCCGTTACACACCAGTCGCTGTCCAAGCGGTGCTGTCTGCCGTGCCGCCTTCAGGGTGAAAGAGTAAGCAGGGGGTAGCAGAAGACTGCATTAGCTACATCGCAGCCTGCTAGCCAGGTTTTTCGTTCGTACCAATTTTTGGAAAATCCTCGGGTGTAGGACTTCCCCCCTTTAGTAGGAACCTGTTGAATTATTAAATTTGGTCTGGGAGGTCCTAATTGTTTCGTTGCCAATTTATCTTCATTTGTTCGCCGACAAAAAGGAACTTCTTTCAAAGACACAATCGAGTTGCACTGAAGCCTAGCCATTTTGATAGAAGTAGTGAATTGATTGACGCTGCTACCCGCTCTTTTCTTAGTTACGTTCATGGTTATATGTTACGTATGACGAAAGCGCGTAAGTGCAAGCCCTCAGAAACCCATAGAGATTGTATTGAAAGCTCTGATATTTGAAAAAAATAGATTTTACATGGGAGTCTATGACAGACTTCTGGGCGATTTTCAACCTGACTGAAAT